GCTAAGTCAGTAAGTGAGTGACTTACAATAGAACACAGACTCAGTGACTTACAACAGAACACACTCAGTGACTTACAATAGAACACAGACTCAGTGACTTACAACAGAACACACTCAGTGACTTACAATAGAACACAGACTCAGTGACTTACAACAGAACACACTCAGTGACTTACAATAGAACACTAAGTCAGTGACTGACTAACAGAATGCTCACTCAGTTTGTAAAAAACTCATTTCTAAAAAAAAACGTCCGTCGTTCCCCCTCGCACGCGCACGCCGTCGTACCTTCCACCGCGCGTACGCGTCGAGCGCGACCGGTAGCGCCTCCTGGATTGCCGTCTCGCTGCCGAGGTGCCGAGCGTGGGTCGTCTCCAGCAGCGACGCAGCCTCCCGCAGGTCGCCGTGGCGACGGTCAAGCGGCAGGCGAGCGACGTCGTCAATGAAGAGACGGAGCGCGGCGTGGTAGTCGAGACGTGCGGCGTCGCGGCACGAGGCGAGTCGCTGGACCTCGTCCTGAGACGGGAACGAGATGGGACGTAGGTTAGTTAGTTAGGTACGATCGCATCTCGCGTGTCTCTCTCTTTCTCTCTCTTGCCTTCACTCTCGTTCTATTACTTTCTCGCTTATTCTTTGTCTCTCCCTTGCTCTAACTCTCTCTATCTCTCTCTCTCTCTCTTGCTCTCTCCCTCTCTCTCTCTCTCTCCATTTCTCTCTCTCTCCCTCCCCCTCTCTCTCTCTCTCCCCCTTCCCCCTCTCTCTCCCTCTCCTCACCTTCTCTGACGACAGCTGTATGGAGAGCTGCAGTTCCCTGTAGGTCTGTGACGCCACCGTCACGCGACGAAGCGTCTCCATCTCCGCCGGCTGGACGCGCGCCGTCGACCCGTCCACCAACGTGATCGCGACCTCCATCGCGTCAACCGTGGCGCCATCTGTGGGGAACTGCAGCGCCAGGTGGCGCGCTATCCTCACCTTGCTCGCGACGTCCGAGAGCTGCGACGGCAGAAACAAACGTCAAACAAACAAACAAACAAACAAACAAACAAACAAACAGTTGCTGTTGCGATCACGCTGCTTTGCTCGTCGCAAATCGATCGATGTTCCCAATTTTAATCAAAAATTTAATTACCGGTACAACAAAACGACCAAATTCGATTGCAGCCTCGATTTAGTGCTACTAAAATGAACGCTCATGCCAATCTTAATCTTGTTCGATTTTCGAATGTTCGCACCTCAACTGGAAAATTCCTACCACAGCGGGAACGTTCGTGCCCCGTCCAACACCCCCCAGTGGCGCCCCCTACCTTTGTGAGGAAGTCCGTCTGGCTCATCTCGCGGCGCATGCGGTGCAGCTCCCGGTGCAGTGTCTCAGCGCGTGCACGCGCGCGTCCCAGCTCCTCCTCCTTCTCCCTCAGCGACACGGCGAGCGCGGCAACAGCCGACCTCTCGTCGCACCCGGGAACAACCCCGCCGCTGCCGACCCCAACTCCATGGACTCTCTGCGGGGGGTCGCCTGCATGGGCGGGGCCATAGCTCGCGTTGGCGTTCTTGCCACGGATGGCCCTGCGGAGGGGGAGAGAGAGGAGAGACTCGTCGGTGAGTTTAGCAGTCACGAGAGGGCGCCACACGGAATATCACGTATCACGTAAGTACGTATGGTATATGTATAATGTATATGTGTGTATATGACTATGTATGTGTATATGACTAAGTATATGTGTATGTGTATATGTACATGTCAGCC